TATCGATGAGCTTAAGGGGGTTTGACAAGCAGTGATGGAGCTAGAATTAAATATTCATAGTGACCTTAGTGATTAAGGGGTTATTGTTATCCTTGAGATCTCCAGTTCGAGCACTGCACATGTAGGAGTATGAACGTTCATTGTCAAATAGTTGAGTCTTTGTACACATATTACTTGTATTCACCCTAGATTTATATATAAAAAAACTCAAAATTCACAAGGTAACACTTAATTTGTGTAATATTAAAACTTACATGAATCAAAATATTATTATACCAAAATTATATCGAATATACAATTTTAATAGGGGCCGAGGCCCCTTTGGGCCCTCTCTAAGCTCCGCCCCTGTTGACGGGGGTTAGATGCTACGTCAGCAAGGTAACGACATAGATCTTGCTGAAAACGAACTAAAAGTTTGATGATTGTATTGTAAGTTTCAAAAGTTGGGTTACCAAAATGCAAGTACCCTAAAAGTTTGAGGACTATTCATATACTTTACCCTTAATTTTATTTTTTAATTTAGTTTGTTAAATATTATGATTTATCATTAATAATTAATTAAGATTTAATAAGATATAAAATTTCTCAAATTAATTTGAAGGTTTAAATTTTAATAATATAAATTAAATTAATTTTCAATAAAAAGTTATCTCTATAATACTTTTATAATATTTGATGAATTATATGTTAATAATGATTAAAAATATTTTATTTTATTAATATTTATAAATTTTATTAATTAGTTTAAAACAAAATATTTAATTGTTGAAAAATTAAAATCGATTCAATCTCTTTGTTTTCCCCAAACGGTACAAAATTATACTTGCAAAGAAAGAATCAAGAATCGGTTCTCTCTCTTCTCCTCAGAGTTTTCCCCCAACGGTTCAAAATTTTACTTAGAAAGAATCAAGAACCGGTGATCTCTCTTATCCTCAGAGTTTTCCCCCAACGGTACAAAATTTTACTTGCAAAGAAAGAATCAGGAACCGGTGATCTTTCTTCTCCTCAGAGTAGTATAAAATCACCCCCTATAATCTTCCCTCTTATTTTCATAACTTCCCAATTTACCTCCCACTTCCATAGCCATGACTGTCAGTACTCCTTCACCCATCGATATACTCTCTTTGTTTTCCCCCAACGGTACAAAATTATACTTGCATTTGTAGATTCTTCAAGGTTTCTTTCCCGGTGATCTCTCTTTCTATCTTTCTCTTTTCTTTTCAATTGTTTTCTTTTTGACTAATTTGATGCATTTCTAGATTCTCTAAGGTTTCTTTCCTTTATCTTCAATTTTGATTTCTTTATGGATTCGACTGCTTTTGATTTAGTCATTCTTGAAGTTTTCTTGATTACTCCTTTTTTTTCAGCAACAAGAAGAGGAAATGTTTGTGCCACTGCATAATGAAACAGACAATGACCAGCCCATGGAAGATAGTTTTTTCTTGGAAAATAATTGTTTTGAGAACTTTACTTCTTGGAATAGCTTTCGTCAATGCAAGTTCCCAAAATATTGTTCTTGTTTCTTGTGGGCATCACTGGAAGAAGTGTTCGATTTTATTGCGATTGTTGTGATTATACGTCTCACTTTGTTAGTTGCATCTCAAACCGGGACTGCAAATACTCTGGAAAATCAACCAGTGGAGTTCCTCCGTCATCAAGATTCACTTGGAAGATTGATAACTTCTCTAAATTACACACAAGGAAGCACTATTTGATTTATCTATCATCTTAATTCTGATGGCTGTTAACATGGCAGGTGTTCATTCCTTCGACTGTTTAGGTCTGGGCTACCGGGTGGATTGGCCCGCCAGCATTATTTTGACTGCTGGTGCATTGAAAATATATTCCGATATATTCAACTCTCTCATTGACTGATGTATGGTGCTCATTAATGGTACAAAAGATATGTCCATTTACACTTGCATATGTATACAGACAAACATATCTGATTTTTGGTAACAATTTCCTTTTCCCTTGAAAGCCACACAAGTTGTACCTTAATGTTCATCTATCTGGGTATCGTTTCTCACTACTAAACTGAAAACTGGATCATCTTTAGTTCAATCCAGATTATTGTATGCTACAGATTCTGTCTCATCTGATCCACGCTGTTGTCAGAACATTGAATTTGCATTCACAATCTTTATATTGTACTTTCTTCGAATTAGCACTTGCCACATGAAAGACTGGATTTTGGCACTCAAGAAAATTCATATGAATTCATCTCTGATAATATTAAATGTTTGTTACAGGATGTAGCTGTCAAATACGTCATCGTACTCTACATGAACGAGAAGTGGGCCATTTTAACATGTTAATGAAGTTCAGGCATAATCAATTCTTCTACCCTTTAGTGTTTTTTATTAACAATAGTAATTACAACTATTATTGCGCCAAAGCAAAAACATTTCTCTCTTGACATGGCTCATTTCTTTAAGGAACACATACCGTTTCTTCATTTATAGATTACCTGGAGGATAGTAAAGTATCTAACGATTCTGTAGGAAAATTGAGAATTAGCCTTAAAGAGGGAGAATGAATTAGAAATCTGCTTTTTGATGATTAAAATCTGATATTGTATTTTATGGTATCTTCCTGTCAAACTCTTGTGTGTGATATTGGGCAAAAAACATTAAATAGAAACCACCGTATAAAAGGCATCTAGCTTTGTTGTCTCCTTTTTCTTATTTCAGATAGCTATAACATTTAGGTTCAGAATGCATTAACTTTGTTTTGTTTCTTTCTATTCCAGGCATCAGATCAATCAATTTGTATCGACATTACAACAGTATGTACAGTCACAGCTATCACATGTATCAGTTCCTCTGTGCATCCACTATGTTAGTTTGCTTTCTTTTAAATTAATAATAATCCACTTGCTTTGTGAAAAAAAGCTATCGCATGTATCATGCGCAAGTTTCTTCACTCCCTTAAGGACAAGGTTTAGGAAAATTGTTTTTCATATTGTGTGTTTATAGCTTCAACCTATTGTGGTTCGGTTTACTTTATTGGTTTTCGTGCATTGCCTCTCTGAGGCCAAGTTAGAACCAGATGTTAACAAGGGTGTTGCATTTTCTTATTTAGTTTGAACCATAAATATGGTAGGCAGAATTACCTTTTATAGCATGCTCATTGCATACTATTTGGGCCTTTTTTGGCTATGTAATAACTATGGATGATTCTTCATTAACATACATGTATACTTTGCAGATGTTTTCTATCTGATGAAACAAAACCTATAGCCAGTACCATAGAGAATATTTTGCAGTGTGCCCTAGATTTTCGGTCTTGTCTCACTGGTGGTATACGGAACATGGGACTTGTGGAAGATTATTAACTGGATAAACTTTCTAGGATCAATATATCTCAGGTTCCCATCAAATTATGGTCTATATTGCCTGCTGAAACCTACTTGCATGCTGTTTAAGTAAGCTTCTAAATCCGAACTTTTAGTTTCTTATTGCAAGTATTGCATATTCTGGGAATCAACTTCAAGCGTACTGTTTTCTACAAGGTGCCAGCCATTTAAGCATTTTTTGCCTCTGAATTACTGCTCGTAGAAACTTGAATTTTGAGGAGGATTTAGTGTTTAGTTTATTCAGTTTGTGGTAAATGGAATGTACTTCCTTTTATGTGGCTTAGTTTAATCAGTTTTGTGGATTACATTTGATGCCTTTAAATTTTATATTGCATATTGGTAACTAGGAGCCAGACACATAATAAATCTTTCTTTTATTAAATGTTAAGAGTAGAAGCATGGGACTAGATTTTTGGAAAACGTAGAGAAGCCTTTGCAGCAAGTGAAATGATTTCAATTTCTTGGACTACTGATCTATTAGCTATGTTGTGGAGGGCTGTTTGTGAAAAGTGAAAGGAAGCCAATAGAAATCTTGTCCAATTAAACAAAATGATAGGATATTCTCCTGATGAAGAGATCAATCGTTATGAGGTTAGCTTCTAGCAACATCTTTTCTCAGTAGTGTAATATTTCTGTTTATTGTTTCAACAAACCCGGTCATAATTATAAGGTTGCAGGTTTTCATTTTGTATTAAAACACCAATAGGATTCATTGGAATTGATTTGATTTATCTATCATCTTAATTCTGATGGCTGTTAACATGGCAGGTGTTCATTCCTTCGACTGTTTAGGTCTGGGCTACCGGGTGGATTGGCCCGCCAGCATATGTATGGTGCTCAGTATTGGTACAAAAGATATGTCCATTTACACTTGCATATGTATGCAGACAAACATATCTGATTTTTGGTAACAATTTCCTTTTCCCTTGAAAGCCACACAAGTTGGTCCTTAATGTTCATCTACCTGGGTATCGTTTCTCACTACTAAACTGAAAACTGAATCATCTTTAGTTCAATCCAATTTATTGTATGCTACAGATTCTATCTCATCTGATCCACGCTGTTGTCAGAACATTGAATTTGCATTCACAATCTTTATATTGTACTTTCTTCGAATTAGCACTTGCCACATGAAAGACTGGATTTTGGCACTTAAGAAAATTCATATGAATTCATCTCTGATAATATTAAATGTTTGTTACAGGATGTAGCTGTCAAATACATCATCGTACTCTAGTGAAGGTTGGGAAGGGTGTTGATAAATTTATATTTTCTTTTAAAATCTCTGTTTCTTGGTTGTTTAACTTTCGTCTCTGTCTTAAAACCATTCCTTTCTCATGTTTAGTAACTGACAATATTAGAGGTAAATAATTATCTATTGCATATGGTATCAGAAAAACTATGTTCCTTATGTTACTCTTTTTCTCTAGAATCTAGATTTTTAAAATAACAAGATCTTACTGTATGATTTTCTCGTTTTTATGGTATTATATTATTTATCGGCATTAATGGCATGCTTTGGAATTTTCATTGTTGTAGAATTTCCGTCTTTTTGTTGATATGTAGTGATGTATCACTTTTAAAGTAATTACATTGCCAGTCTTTTTGCTGAGGAGTCATGTACCTTTAATAATTTAGGATCTCTGCTGGGGGTGTTGTTATCTAATAGGACTTTGCTGTTCAAAGTCATTACTCTTTAGAAGGCAGCTCCCCATCCCTATCCTTTTGAAGATGGAGTATTCCATGATTTGAAGTTTCTCACACCATGAAAGTGCGATAAAGGCCATATACACTGGTTCTGAGTTTGTGGAAAGTGCGACTGCTGGCAATGATGTTGGTATAGTTTTGGAATCTATAAGTTTCTATGCTGAGCAAGGTGGTCAGGTATTTAATTTCAGTGTGAAAAGGTTTATCTTAACAACGTTTCCATTTTTTTGGGTCTGTATGAACCAGTTTCATACAATCCGTAGTGCCACAAACTTTAAATATGTTGATTATATTTGAGACCAAGAAATTTTTGGTTTTGGTACACTTTATTGGTTTGGAAAGGACAAAACGTTTTCTGATTGATATAGGATGGAAAAGGTTGAATCCTGCAGGTTAAAGCAAAATGACAAAGAAATATCCAGCTAGTTAAGGTAGCTAGCCCGGGGGAGAGTATATCAGGCTTAGGATTGAAATTTGGTGGTTGCTTTTATCAGGGTTTGGTCAAGGTTTTCTAGATGGCTTTATCAGGTTTTAAAGGGAAATAACTTTGTGCTGGTTTTATATTTTTTTTTGTTTGAGAAGTTCCTGAAATAGAAAAGAAAGGCAACTATGATTCATGCATCACTTTAAGCTTTCCTTAGGTATAATATATGTATATTACAAGGAATTTATGTGAGTCAAGTGATTGCTTCCCTTTTTTGTGCTTTCTTTATTCATCTGACGCATTTACTTGTGGACATAGATTTTTGATATCGCATCTCTTGATGGTCCCTTTGGTTCCTTCCAAGTATGCAATGTTCAAATTTTTGGAGGTTTTGTACTTCATATTGGTTCTCTCTTTCTGGAGTTACTGACAAATTCTCTGTTGGTGATAAAGTAACTTGTAAGGTAAAACAATAAGCTTCAAATTGCCTTTTATTTTTGTTCCACAGAACGATTAGCTTCATTTTATTTTCAACCTTTTCATGATTGTAATTATTTCTGTAGGTTGACTATGACAGACAGACATTGATTGCTCCTAACCATACTTGCACACATATGTTGAACCATGCTCTTAGGGTATGACTTAATACGCTGATATCCATAATTCTTTAGCAGTTTCCTATTTTTTATTAGTTTTCCATGCATCACATTCTTTCAATTTGAATGTAGAAAGTGCTTGGTAATCATGTTGACCAGAAGGGGTCTATTGTACTTCCTGAAAAATTGAGGTTTGATTTTTACCATGGTAAGTTTAGCTCAGGACGTCTTTGATAAACGGTTGAATATTTAAATCATTGAGTATTAAAAATTTCAATGGTTATTCATTTTAAGAACCACTTATTGAAGCATTAGGAAACTTGAGTATAGTTAGCTACTTATTGTGTCAGACAGTCAATTCAATTGAAGGAAAAATTTATTTTTCCATTTACATTAATCTCACATCTTTTCCTTTTACATAAGAAATTTAGTACTTTAAATTTTCTTAGTTTTTCCATTTAACATTAATCTCACATCTTTTCCTTTTACATAAGAAATTTAGTACTTCAAATTTTCTTAGATTTTTACAATTGATTCAAATAGCAATCTACTGGGCATTTAATTTTCAGTATCATACCAACAATTTTTCCATCATAGATTCAGTATATCAATCTAAACTAAAAGTTGAACACTGATTTTTTGGGGGGTTTGTTTTCCAGTTATGCTATTTAGTTTGCAGTAAGCTAAAATTTGATCCAATGTTATCAGATCCAAACAGAGATGGTGCCATCAATGCTGATCATTTGAGAAAAATCGAGTCTATTGTGAATGAACAAATAAAATCTGAGTTTGATGTATATTCAAAGGAGGTAACGCTTGCTGAAGCCAAGCATATCAACGGTTTGCGAGCCGTATTTGGAGAAGTAAGCTTAAGCATTTTTTTTGTCATTATGGCTTTCTAATTTGGCTTTTCTCAATCCTTTTAGAAGTGATGCTGGAATTATATTTCCAATGCAGGTTTATCCTGATCCAGTTAGAGTAGTGGCCATTGGTTAAAAAGGTGGAGGACCTCCTTGCTGATCCTGAAAACAAAGAATGGTCATCCATCTCATCGGAACTGTGTGGAGATATTTCTTTATTTAAACAAACTCGCTAGAAGCCTTGCTATGAATTTTGTGTTGAAGTTGACTTCAAGGATTTTACAGGCACGCACCTAACGAATACACGGGAAGCAAGGGCATTTGCTCTTTTATCTAACGAGGGAATCGCTAAAGGGGTTCGAAGGATAATTGACAATGGTAGAGAAGCCTTTGCAGCAAGTGAAATGATTTCAATTTCTTGGACTACTGACCGAACATTATAGATGAGAGATAATACCTAATTAGTGCACCAATTATAGTAGTTTTTTTTTTCATGTTCTTGCCATGAAAGAAAAGTTCGATAAAAATTTTAAAGATTTGCATTTACTCTACATCAAATCGCCTAAACACAGTGAATCTAGGCATTCCGGTTTCGGGGGATATCTCAACTATAATGATTACTACTCTAACGAGAATGAAATGAGCTATTATGCTTTCTCAAGATGAAGTCTTTTCCATGAAGATCAAAAGTGGGCAATGATTTGTATTCTTTTGTGCCATAAGAGTTCAAGAAACAAGCTCGAAGTAGAAGTCCATGGTTTGGATTTAGATAATCTGTTGGAGTCTTAGCAGCAGCCAACCTTCACCATATCATCTTTGTTCTGCCGCTGTTGATGTTCATGCGAGGTAAGGCATAAACCCTTTTCTTAGTAGGTTATGGTGAAGCAGTAACATGCTATTTGACATTTGTTGTATTTCTTGTCTCTTAATTTAGGGTGAAGTCTATTTTATTTTAACGGCTGGTAACCAAAGAAAAACCAAAATGTTACGTTATGCATGATTTTGAAAAAGATAATAGTTGATGACCAAAACAAAAACTGACTAATAGGTGAGTGACTAAATAGGTAGTTTACCCGAAATTATTATACCATGGTTCAAAAGTCTTGTTTGGAGAGTTTTTGTTTCTAGATTTTGCTTCATCCCTTGTTTAACATAGTTTTGGATTTAACTGTCTCTTTTTTAAAATGCAGAATAAGGAAATGTGCATTTTTTAAGTTTGACAGGTATATAATTCCTTACCTAATTGTCTCTTCCTCACTGTAGGTTGGAACCTTGAATGAGGTATGAAATAAGGTTCACTATGCATACCTAAAGTTGTTCCTGATATTATACCATGGTTCAAAAGTCTTGTTTGGAGAGTTTTTGTTTCTAGATTTTGCTTCATCCCTTGTTTAACATAGTTTTGGATTTAACTGTCTCTTTTTTAAAATGCAGAATAAGGAAATGTGCATTTTTTAAGTTTGACAGGGATATAATTCCTTACCTAATTGTCTCTTCCTCACTGTAGGTTGGAACCTTGAATGAGGTATGAAATAAGGTCCACTATGCATACCTAAAGTTGTTCCTGAAATTTGAGCTTTGACTTGTAGGTTTAGCTTTTTATGAGCAACATATTACTTTTTTTATGATTTAACTCTCTGGCCAATGATATTTTTATTCAGGATCTTCATTCTCACCCCCAATACTAAAATTAATAGATCCAAACATAGAGGCCTAATTTGGTTTTAAAAGCTTTTTAGTGCAAAAAGTTCTGTTGTTAGAGTAGGAAGAAATGGATGTTAGGGATAGTCCTTGAGGAGTTAAGTTTCACAATAATAAATAGTAGAATTGCTTATCTTCCCTTGACAGTGCATGTTAGTTAGGCTTGAAATTGGTTGTATTTTACTAGATTTTTTAGGCAAGTTCTAGTTATGAATCTTGCCAAAGCCAGGCCTTTTGTTTCAGTTCGGCCCCTTCCCCGTTGAGGGTCTTCTTTTATTTGCATCTTGATGTTAATCATAATTGTTCAGGATTTACGACCGCATGCTCCACCGTAAAAGAAAAAGGGAAATATTTTACTTTTCTTCAAGCCCTACGATATTGAGAAAGCAAAGCTTGGGTAGGTTGTCGTGTTGTCTATTTCTCCTTGTCTTTTGATAGTTACGTGAAATCTTATTTGGGTTATCTTTCTGCTCTATTATCTGTGTTGGAGGGTTGTTTGTGAAAAGTGCAAGGAAGCCAATAAAAATCTTGTCCAAATTAAACAAAATGACAGGGTATACTCCTGATTAAGAGTCCAATCTTTATGAGGTTAGCTTCTAGCAATATCTTTTCTCAGTGGTGCAATTTTTCTGCTTATTGTTTCAACGTGAGGAGCTTGAGTTTTCATTTTGTAGTAAAACACCAATAGGATTTATTAGAATTCATTTGATTTATCTATCATCTTAATTTTGATGGCTGTTAACATGGCAGGTGTTCTTCGACTTTTTAGGTCCTGGTGCATTGAAAATATATTCCAATATATTCAACTTTCTGATTCAATTGAAGCTTGCTGTTTTTTCATTGACTGATGCATGTTGCTCATTAAAAGTACAAAAGATATGTCCATTTACACTTGCATATATATGCAGACAAACATATATGATTTTTTGTAACAATTTCCTTTTCCCTTGAAAGCCACACCAAGTTGGTGCTTAATGTTCATCTATCTGGACATCGTTTTTCACTGCTAAACTGAAAACTGAATCATCTTTAATTCAATCCGATTTATTGTATACTCCATATTCTGTCTCATCTGATCCACGCTGTTGTCAGAACATTGAATTTGCATTCACAGTCTTCATATTGTACTTTCTGCGAATTAGCACTTGCCATACGAAAGACTGGACTTTTGCACTCATGGAAATTCATATGAATTCATCTCTGATAATATTAAATGTTTGTTACAGGATGTAGTTCAGTTGATCTGTCAACAATGTCATCCATGAATGAGAAGTGGGTCAAGTATAATCAATTCTTTTACCGTTTAGTGTTTTTTTTTATTAACAATAGTTATTACTACTGTTATTGCCTCAAAGCAAAAACATTTCTCTCTTGACATGGCTCATTTCCGTAAAATTTAGCTCAGAATATAGCATTCACCGACTGTTCGACTTATATTTTGTTTCTTCCTCCTTCCTTGATTGCTGACAAGCATGGGGATAGGGATGATCATCTAATAGCTTTTTGTTAGTTATCCATTTTACTAATGGTGCCCACCCTGAAATTTTATTTGTGCCCATCCCATACGAAAAATTTATGTTTTTAATATATTTGTACCCACCTTAAAAAATATTTTTTGATTCACTACCGCTAAAAGCAATCTACAATAAGTAGAAAGGTCCAACTTTGATAGATAAAACCGGAAGAAATTTAAGACTTATGTGAGATAACACCTGTTACCACTTTCAACCATTGATACTTTGTCCTTATGGTGCTCCAACTCTTCACTTTTTATTGAAGCATCCATGGCTGACACAAATCGGGTGAATGGGTATGGAAATATGACCTTCCAAGGACCCACTTGGGAAAACTGAGAAATAATTGAACATTCATATCCTACACGCACACCCAAGTCTGAGTAACTTAACCTTTCCCTTTATCCTATACTCAAAGTTCATTTGTTTTGTTGCCACATTTAGTTTGAACCATAGATATAGTAGGCAGAATTACCTTTACTTGGCATGCTCATATCATACTATTTGGGCCTTTTTTTGGCTATGTAATAACTATGGATGATTCTTCATAAACATACATGTATACTTTGCAGATGTTTTCTATCTGATAAACAAAACCTATAGCCAGTACCATAGGGAATATTTTGCAGTGTGCCCCAGATTTCCGGTCTTGTCTTACTGGTGGTATATGTAACATGAGACTTGCGGAAGACGATTAACTGGATAAACTTTCTAGGATCAATCAATATATCTCAGGTACCCATCAACTTATGGTCTATATTGCCTGCTGAAATCTACTTGCGTGCTGTTTAAGTAAGCTTTTAAATCCGAATTTTTAGTTTCTTATTGAAAGTATTGCACAATGGTAGAGTTTAGTAATCCGGCAATTAACTCTTTCAAGTGCAACTGTTTCCTACAAGGTGCATCCATTTAAGCATTCTTTGCCTCTGAATTACTCCTCGTAGAAACTTTAATTTTGAGGAGGGATTATTTAAAAAAAATTCTGACAGACATTACATAACTGAATTCATATTCAGCTTTATTTCGTTGAACTGTGCCTAGTGATGGTTTAGCTTATTCAGTTTGTGGTAAATGGAATGCACTTCCATTTCTGTGGTTTAGTTCAATCAGTTTTGTGGATTATATTTGATGCCTATAAATTTTTTGCTGCATATTGGTAACTAGGAGCCAAACACATAATAGAACTTTCTTTTATTAAAATGTTAAGAGTAGACGAATGGGACTAGATTTTTGGAAAAAGTAGAGAAGTCTTTGCAGCAAGTAAAATGATTTCAATTTCTTGGACTATTGACCGAACATTCTAGATGAGAGATAATACATAATTAGTGAACCACTTATAGTAGTTTCTTTTCAGGTTTTTGCCATCAAAGAAAAGTTCAACAAAAATTGTAAAGAACTACATCTACTCTACCTCAAATCGCCTAAATAGGGTGAATCCAGGCTTTCCTGTTTCTGGGAATATCTCAACTATAATGATTACTACTCTAACGAGAATGAAATGAGCTATTATGCTTTCTCAGTGTGAAGTCTTTTCCACGAAGATCAAAAGTGGGCAGTGATTGTGTGCCATAAGAGTTCAAGAAACAAGCTTGAAGTAGAAGTCCATGGTTCGGAATTAGATAATTTGTTGGAGTCTTAGCAGCAGCCAACCTGAACCATATCATCTTTGTTCTGCTGCTGTTGATGTTCATGCGAGGTAAGGCGTCAACCCTTTATTTAGCTGGTTATGGTGAAGCAGTAGTATGCTATTTGACATCTGTTGTGTTTCTTGTCTTTTAATTTAGGGTAAAGTCTGTTTTTTTAACAGCTGGTGATCAAAATAGAACCAAAACGTTACGTTATGTATGATTTTGAAAAAAATAATAGTTGGGTGACCAAAACAAAAACTAAGTAATAGGTGAGTGATGAAACATGCTATTTGACATCTGTTGTGTTTCTTGTCTTTTAATTTAGGGTAAAGTCTTTTTTTTAACAACTGTTGATCAAAACAGAAACAAAACGCTAAGTTATGTATGATTTTGAAAAAAATAATAGTTGGGTGACCAAAACAAAAACTAAGTAATAGGTGAGTGATGAAATAGATAGTTTACCATGGTTCAAAAGACTTGTTTGAGGAGTTTTTATTTCTAGATTTTGCTTCAGCCCTTGTTCAGCATGGTTTTGGATTTAACTGTCTGTCTTTGAAAATGCAGAATAAGGAAAATGTGCTCTTTTTTAAGTTTGACAAGGATATAAGTCCGTACCTAATTGTCTCTTCCTCACTGTAGGTTGGAACCTTGAACGAGGTATCAAATAAAGTTCACAATGCATACCTAAAGTTGTTCCTGAAAGTTGAGCTTGAACTGGTAATCTGGTTTAGCTTTTTATAAGCAATGTTTCTTTTTATGTGCTTTAACTCTCTGGCCAATGATATTTTCATTCAGGGTCTTCATTTTCACCCCAGCACTAAAATTAATAGATCCAAACATAGAGGCCTAATTTGGTTATGAAAGCTTTCTAGTGCAAAAAGTTTTGTTGTTAGAGTAGAGAGAAATGGATGTTAGGGATAGTCCTTGAGAAGTAAATCTTCACAATTATACATAATAGAATTGTTTATCTTCCCTTGAAAGTACATGTTAGCGAGGCTTGAAATTTGTTGTATTTTACTAGATTCTTTAGGCAAGTTCTAGTTATGAATCTTGCCAAACACAGGCCTTATTTTTCAGTTCCACCCCTTCCCCCTTGATAAATGTTTAGGGTCTCCTTTTATTTGCATCTTGATGTTAAACATCATTGTTCAGGATTTACTACCGATACTTCCACTATATAAGAAAAAGGAAAATATTTTACTTTTCTTCAAGCACTATGATATTGAAAAAGCAAAGCTTCGGTAGGTTGTGTCATGTTGTCTATTTCCCCTTTTCTTTTGATAGTTATGTGAAATCTTATTTGGGTTATATTTCTAATCTATTAGCTATGTTGTGGAGGGCTGTTTGTGAAAAGTGCAAGGAAGCCAATAGAAATCTTGTCCAATTAAACAAAATGATAGGATATGCTCCTGATGAAGAGATCAATCGTTATGAGGTTAGCTTCTAGCAACATCTTTTCTCAGTAGTGTAATATTTCTGTTTATTGTTTCAACAAACCCGGTCATAATTATAAGGTTGCAGTGAGCAGCTTGAGTTTTCATTTTGTAGTAAAACACCAATAGGATTCATTGGAATTGATTTGATTTATCTATCATCTTAATTCTGATGGCTGTTTACATGGCAGGTGCTCATTCCTTCGACTGTTTAGGTCTGGGCTACCGGGTTGATTGGCCCGCTAGCATTATTTTGACTCCTGGTGCATTGAAAATATATTCCGATATATTCAACTTTCTCATTGACTGATGTATGGTGCTCATTAATGGTACAAAAGATATGTCCATTTACACTTGATTATGTATGCAGACAAACATATCTGATTTTTGGTAACAATTTCCTTTTCCCTTGAAAGCCACACAAGTTGGTCCTTATTGTTCATCTATCTGGGTATCGTTTCTCACTACTAAACTGAAAACTGATTCTGTCTCATCTGATCCACGCTGTTGTCAGAACATTGAATTTGCATTCACAATCTTTATATTGTACTTTCTTCGAATTAGCACTTGCCACATGAAAGACTGGGTTTTGGCACTCAGGAAAATTCATATGAATTCATCTCTGATAATATTAAATGTTTGTTACAGGATGTAGTGCAGTTGATCTGTCAAATACGTCATTGTACTCTACATGAACGAGAAGTGGGCCATTTTAACATGTTAATGAAGTTCAGGCATAATCAATTCTTCTACCCTTTAGTGTTTTTTGTTAACAATAGTAATTACTACTATTATTGCCCCAAAGAAAAAACATTTTTCTCTTGACATGGCTCATTTCTTTAAGGAACACATACCGTTTCTTCATTTATAGATTACCTGGAGGATAGTAAAGTATCTAACGATTCTGTAGGAAAATAGAGAATTAGCCTTATAGAGGGAGAATGAATTAGAAATCTGCTTTTTGATGATTAAAATCTGATTTTGTATTTTATGGTATCTTCCTGTCAAACTCGTGTGTGATATTGGGCAAAAAACATTAAATAGAAACCACCGTATAAAAGGCATCTAGCTTTGTTGTCTCATTTTTCTTATTTCAGATAGCTATAGCATTTAGGTTCAGAAAGCATTAACTTTGTTTTGTTTCTTTCTATTCCAGGCATCAGATCAATCAATTTGTATCGACATTACAACAGTATGTACAGTCACAGCTATCACATGTATCAGTTCCTCTGTGCATCCACTATGTTAAGTAGTTTTCTTTCTTTTAATTAATAATAATCCACTTGCTTTGTTGTCTCATTTTTCTTATTTCAGATAGCTATAGCATTTAGGTTCAGAAAGCATTAACTTTGTTTTGTTTCTTTCTATTCCAGGCATCAGATCAATCAATTTGTGGACATTACAACAGTATGTACAGTCACAGCTATCACATGTATCAGTTCCTCTGTGCATCCACTATGTTAAGTAGTTTGCTTTCTTTTAAATTAATAATAATCCACTTGCTTTGTGAAAAGAAGCTATCGCATGTATCATGCGTAAGTTTCTTCACTCCCTTAACGACAAGGTTTAGGAAAATTGTTTTTCACATTGTGTGTTTATAGCTTCAACCTATTATGGTTCAGTTTACTTTATTGGTTTTCGTGCATTGCCTCTCTCAAGCAATTTAGTATTATTTTTAACTTTTATGTAACTTTTGATATTAATAAAAGTTCCAAGGCACTCTTTTCCTCCTAACGACCTTTCTTCAAGGTCTTTAAATTAAGAAGGGGGTTTTAAATAGGCCTTTCATTCCTATCAAAAAAAAATCATAGATATGGTTGGCAGAATTACCTTTTATAGCATGGTCATTGCATACTATTTGGGCCTTTTTTGGCTATGTAATAACTATGGATGATTCTTCATTAACAAACATGTATACTTTGCAGATGTTTTCTATCTGATGAAACAAAACCTATAGCCAGTACCATAGAGAATATTTTGCAGTGTGCCCTAGATTTTCGGTCTTGTCTCACTGGTGGTATACAGAACATGGGACTTGTTGAAGACGATTAACTGGATAAACTTTCTAGGATCAATATATCTCAGGTACCCATCAAATTATGGTCTATATTGCCTGCAGAAACCTACTTGCATGCTGTTTAAGTAAGCTTCTAAATCCGAACTTTTAGTTTCTTATTGCAAGTGGGACACATATGGTTTTCCTTTAGATTTAACTCAGGTAGACAAGTGGATTTTTTTCTCTTATTCTATGTATGATCTATTAGATTTTCCATCCTAATTTTCCATTCCTGCAGTTGATGGCAGAGGAAAGAGGTTTGATAGTAGATGTTGAGGGTTTCAATAATGCGATGGATGAGGCCAGGGAAAAGCCAAGGCAAGAAATAAGGTAATAGGAGTTCGATTTGTGTATCCAGTAAACTCTTTGTTAATAATGTGCTAGGTATAAAATCTTTCTAATAAGTAAATGATGCTAGGCATTCTTAGATGCAGTGTTCACGTAATTGAGTTTTTTCTCCATATTCTGTGCTCATAGAAGCTATTGTCATGGATGCTGATGCTACCTCTGCACTGCACAAGAAGGGGGTGTCTACAACAGATGATTCCTTCAAATTCGTTTGGTTCAAGGTCTGTATGCATCTTTAGATGGCACTTCAGTAGATGTCTTTTAGTCTGGGTTATTATTTTGGTTAGAGAAAATATTGAAGGTTCAATGAGTCGTTGGCTACTAAGAGAGATTTCTATTTCAGCTGCATCATGATGGGGACCAGATTTTCTCTCTATTTTTTTTTTCTCTTATCAAAAAAAAAATGTTACTCTTTTTCTCTAGAATCTAGATTTTTAAAATAACAAGATCTTACTGTATGATTTTCTCCTTTTTATGGTATCATATTATTTATCGGCATTAATGGCATGCTTTGGAATTTTCATTGTTGTAGAATTTCCTTCTTTCTGTTGATATGTAGTGATGTATCACTTTTAAAGTAATTACATTGCCAGTCTTTTTGCTGAGGAGTCATGTACCTTTTATAATTTAGGATCTCTGCTGGGGGTGTTGTTATCTAATAGGACTTTGCTGTTCAAAGTCATTACTCTTTAGAAGGCAGCTCCCCATCCCTATCCTTTTGAAGATGGAGTATTCCATGATTTGAAGTTTCTCACACCATGAAAGTGCGATAAAGGCCATATACACTGGTTCTGAGTTTGTGGAAAATGCGACTGCTGGCGATGATGTTGGTATAGTTTTGGAATCTACAAGTTTCTATGCTGAGCAAGGTGGTCAGGTATTTAATTTCAGTGTGTGAAAAGGTTTATCTTAACAATGTTTCCATTTTTTTGGGTCTGTATGAACCAGTTTCATACAATCTGTAGTGCCACAAACTTTAAATATGTTGATTATATTTGTGACCAAGAAATTTCTGGTTTTGGTACACTTTATTGGTTTGTGAGCAAGGTGGTCAGGTATTTAATTTCAGTGTGTGAGAAGGTTGAATCCTGCAGGTTAAAGCAAAATGACAAAGAAATATCCAGCTAGTTAAGGTAGCTAGCCCGGGGGAGAGTATATCAGGCTTAGGATTGAAATTTGGTGGTTGCTTTTATCAGGGTTTGGTCAAGGTTTTCTAGATGGCTTTATTAGGTTTTAAAGGGAAATAACTTTGTGCTGGTTTTAAATTTTTTTAAGTTTGAAAAGTTCCTGAAATAGAAAAGAAAGGTAATTATGATTCATGCATCACTTTAAGCTTTCCTGAAATAACTTGTGGACATAGATTTTTGATATCGGATCTCTTGATGGTCCCTTCGGTTCCTTCCAAGTATGCAATGTTCAAATTTTTGGAGGTTTTGTACTTCATATTGGTTCTGTTTCTGGAGTTACTGGCAAATTCTCCGTTGGTGATAAAGTAACTTGTAAGGTAAAACCATAAGCTTCAAATTGCCTTTCATTTTTGTTCCACAGAACGATTAGCTTCATTTTATTTTCAACCTTTTCTTTATTGTAATTATTTCTGTAGGTTGACTATGACAGACGGACATTGATTGCTCCTAACCATACTTGCCCACATATGTTGAACTATGCTCTTAGGGTATGACTTAATATGCTGATATCCATAATTCTTTAGCAGTTTCCTATTTTTTTATTAGTTTTCCATGTTTCACATTCTTTAAATTTGAATGTAGAAAGTGCTTGGTAATCATGTTGACCAGAAGGGGTCTATTGTTCTTCCTGAAAAAATGAGGTTTGATTTTTACCATGGTAAGTTTAGCTCAGGACGTCTTTGATAAAAGGTTGAATATTTAAATCATTGAGTATTAAAAATTTCAATGGTTATTCATTTTACGAACCACTTATTGAAGCATTAGGAAACTTGAGTATAGTTAGCTACTTATTGTGTAAGACAGTCAATTCAATTGAAGGAAAAATTTATTTTTCCATTTACATTAATCTCACAACTTTTCCTTTTACATAAGAAATTTAGTACTTTAAATTTTCTTAGCTTTTCCATTTAACATTAATCTTACATCTTTTCCTTTTACATAAGAAATTTAGTACTTCAAATTTTCTTAGCTTTTCCATTTAACATTAATCTTACATCTTTTCCTTTTACATAAGAAATTTAGTACTTCAAATTTTCTTAGATTTTACAATTGATTTAAATAGCCAATCTACTGGGTATTTAATTTTCAGTATCATACCAACAAATTTTCCATCATAGATTCAGTATATCAATCTAAACTAAAAGTTGAACACTGATTTTTTTTTTTTGGGGGGGGGTTTCAGTTATGCTATTTAGTTTGCAGTAAGCTAAAATTTGATCCAATGTTATCAGATCCAAACAGAGATGGTGCCATCAATGCTGATCATTTGAGAAAAATCGAGTCTATTGTGAATCAGCAAATAAAACCTGAGTTAGATGTATATTCAAAGGAGGTAACGCTTGCTGAAGCCAAGCGTATCAACGGTTTGCGAGCCGTATTTGGAGAAGTAAGCTTAAGCATTTTTTTGTCATTATGGATTTCTAATTTGGCTTTGCTCAATCCTTTTAGAAGTTATGCTAGAATTATATTCCCAACGCAGGTTTATCCTATTTAGTTTGCAGTAAGCTAAAATTTGATCCAATGTTATCAGATCCAAACAGAGATGGTGCCATCAATGCTGATCATTTGAGAAAAATCGAGTCTATTGTGAATCAGCAAATAAAACCTGAGTTAGATGTATATTCAAAGGAGGTAACGCTTGCTGAAGCCAAGCGTATCAACGGTTTGCGAGCCGTATTTGGAGAAGTAAGCTTAAGCATTTTTTTGTCATTATGGATTTCTAATTTGGCTTTGCTCAATCCTTTTAGAAGTTATGCTAGAATTATATTCCCAACGCAGGTTTATCCTGATCCAGTTAGAGTAGTGGCCATTGGTTAAGAAGGTGGAGGACCTCCTTGCTGATCCTGAAAACAAAGAATGGTCATCCATCTCATTGGAACTGTGTGGAGGTATTTGTTTATTTAAACAAACTCGCTAGAAGCCTTTCTATGAATTTTGTGTTGAAGCTGACTTCAAGGATTTTACAGGCATGCACCTAACAAATACACGGGAAGCAAGGGCATTTGCCCTTTTATCTGAAGAGGGAATCGCTAAAGGGGTTCGAAGGATAACTGACAATGGTAGAGAAGCCTTTGCAGCAAGTGAAATGAATTCAATTTCTTGGACTACTGACCGAACATTCTAGATGAGAGATAATACCTAATTAGTGCACCAATTATAGAAGTTTTTTTTTCAGGTTCTTGCCATGAAAGAAAAGTTCGAGAATGAAATGAGCTATTATGCTTTCTCAATATGAAGTCTTTTCCATGAAGATCAAAAGTGGGCAATGATTTGTATTCTTTTGTGCCATAAGAGTTCAAGAAACAAGCTCGAAGTAGAAGTCCATGGTTTGGATTTAGATAATCTGTTGGAGTCTTAGCAGCAGCCAACCTGCACCATATCATCTTTGTTCTGCCGCTGTTGATGTTCATGCGAGGTAAGGCATCAACCCTTTTTTAGTTGGTTATGGTGAAGCAGTAACATGCTATTTGACATCTGTTGTGTTTCTTGTCTCTTAATTTAGGGTAAAGTCTATTTTATTTTAACGGCTGGTAACCAAAGCAAAACCAAAATGTTACGTTATGCATGATTTTGAAAAAGATAATAGTTGATGACCAAAACAAAAACTGACTAATAGGTGAGTGACTAAATAGGTAGTTTACCCGAAATTATTATACCATGGTTCAAAAGTCTTGTTTGGAGAGTTTTTGTTTCTGGATTTTGCTTCATCCCTTGTTCAACATAGTTTTTTTTTTATAGAAATAGGGTAGGCCTCATTAAAAACCCCCTTCATAACCTCCATGTGACAACAATAACATGAAGGTCATTGGAAGGAGGAAAATAGTGCCTAATAATTTATTAATATAAGAATAATACAAAGCCATACCTAAGAAGCTTCTGTTATAACATAAGAGTTAAATACCAAACAAAAACAAAAAACAAAAACCATCTCAAAAGCAGAACAACCTATCCAATACCCTACTAATCATCCTATTCATTCTTTAGTTAATTTATCCGATTCCCAATTCGCAGCTCTCAATATATGCCTAACAATTACATCATTACTCTCCACTAGGGCAGCATAGTTTTGGATTTAACTGCCTCTCTTTGAAAATTCAGAATAAGGAAAATGTGCATTTTTTAAGTTTGACAGGGATTCCTTACCTAATTGTCTCTTCCTCACTGTAGGTTGGAACCTTGAATGAGGTATGAAATAAGGTTCACTATGGATACCTAAAGTTGTTCCTGAAATTTGATTCAGGATCTTCATTCTCACCCCCAATACTAAAATTAATAGATCCAAACATAGAGGCCTAATTTGGTTTTAAAAGCTTTCTAGTGCAAAAAGTTGTGTTGTTAGAGTAGGAATAAATGGATGTTAGGGATAGTCCTTGAGGAGTTAAGTTTCACAATAATAAATAGTAGAATTTATTATCTTCCCTTGACAGTGCATGTTAGTGAGGCTTGAAATTGGCTGTATTTTACTAGATTCTTTAGGCAAGTTCTAGTTATGAATCTTGCCAAAGCCAGGCCTTTTGTTTCAGTTCTGCCCCTTCCCCCTTGATAAATGTTTGGGGTCTTCTTTTACTTGCATCTTGATGTTAATCATAATTGTTCAGGATTTACGACTGAACGCTCCACTGTAAAAGAAAAAGGGAAATATTTTACTTTTCTTCAAGCCCTACGATATTGAGAAAGCAAAGCTTGGGTAGGTTGTCGTGTTGTCTATTTCTCCTTGTCTTTTGATAGTTACGTGAAATCTTATTTGGGTTATCTTTCTGCTCTATTATCTATGTTGGAGGGTTGTTTGTGAAAAGTGCAAGGAAGCCAATAGAAATCTTGTAAATTAAACAAAATGACAGGGTATACTCCTGATGAAGAGTCCAATCTTTATGAGGTTAGCTTCTAGCAATATCTTTTCTCAGTGGTGCAATTTTTCTGCTTATTGTTTCAACAAACCCGGTCATAATTATAAGGTTGCAGTGAGGATCTTGAGTTTTCATTTTGTAGTAAAACACCAATAGGATTTATTAGAATTCATTTGATTTATCTATCATCTTAATTTTGATGGCTGTTAACATGGCAGGTGTTCTTCGACTTTTTAGGTCTGGGCTATCGAGTGGATATGCCCACCAGCATTATTTTGACTGGTGCATTGAAAATATATTCCAATATATTCAACTTTCTGATTCAATTGAAGCTTGCTGTTTTTTCATTGACTGATGCATGTTGCTCATTAAAAGTACAAAAGATATGTCCATTTATTCTTGCATATATATGCAGACAAACATATATGATTTTTTGTAACAATTTCCTTTTCCCTTGAAAGCCACACCAAGTTGGTGCCTAATGTTCATCAATCTGGATATTGTTTTTCACTGCTAAACTGAAAACTGAATCATCTTTAGTTCAATCCGATTTATTGTATACTCCATATTCTGTCTCATCTGATCCACGCTGTTGTCAGAACATTGAATTTGCATTCACAATCTTTATATTGTACTTTCTTCGAATTAGCACTTGCCACATGAAACACTGGATTTTGGCACTTAGGAAAATTCATATGAATTCATCTCTGATAATATGAAATGTTTGTTACAGGATGTAGTGCAGTTGATCAGTCAAATACGTCATCGTACTCTACATGAACGAGAAGTGGGCCATTTTAACATGTTAATGAAGTTCAGGCATAATCAATTCTTCTACCCTTTGGTGTTTTTTATAAACAATAGTAATTACTACTATTATTGCCCCAAAGCAAAAACATTTCTCTCTTGACATGGCTCATTTCTTTAAGGAACACATACCGTTTCTTCATTTATAGATTACCTGGAGGATAGTAAAGTATCTAACGATTCTGTAGGAAAATAGAGAATTAGCGTTAAAGAGGGAGAATGAATTAGAAATCTGCTTTTTGATGATTAAAATCTGATATTGTATTTTATGGTATCATCCTGACAAACTCTTGTGTGTGATATTGGGCAAAAAACATTAAATAGAAACCACCGTATAAAAGGCATCTAGCTTTGTTGTCTCCTTTTTCTTATTTCAGATAGCTATAGCATTTAGGTTCAGAAAGCATTAACTTTGTTTTGTTTCTTTCTATTCCAGGCATCAGATCAATCAATTTGTATCGACATTACAACAGTATGTACAGTCACAACTATCACATGTATCAGTTCCTCTGTGCATCCACTATGTTAAGTAGTTTGCTTTCTTTTAAATTAATAATAATCCACTTGCTTTGTGAAAAGAAGCTATCGCATGTATCATGTGCAAGTTTCTTCACTCCCTTAAGGACAAGGTTTAGGAAAATTGTTTTTCACATTGTGTGTTTATAGCTTCAACCTATCGTGGTTCGGTTTACTTTATTGGTTTTATTGCATTGCCTCTCTGAAGCCAAGTCAGAACCAGATGTTAACAAGGGTGTTGCATTATCTTATTTAGTTTGAACCATAGATATGGTAGGCAGAATTACCTTTTATAGCATGGTCATTGCATACTATTTGGGCCTTTTTTGGCTATGTAATGGATGATTCTTCATTAACATACATGTATACTTTGCAGATGTTTTCTATCTGATGAAACAAAACCTATAGCCAGTACCATAGAGATTTTTTTACAGTGTGCCCTAGATTTTCGGTCTTGTCTCACTGGTGGTATGCGGAACATTGGATTTGTGGAAGACGATTAACTAGATAAACTTTCTAGGATCAATATATCTCAGGTACCCATCAAATTATGGTCTATATTGCATGCTGAAACCTACTTGCATGCTGTTTAAGTAAGCTTCTAAATCCGAACTTTTAGTTTCTTATTGCAAGTGGGACACATATGGTTTTCCTTTAGATTTAACTCAGGTAGACAGGTGGATTTTGTTCTCTTATTCTATGTATGATCTATTAGATTTTCCATCCTAATTTTCCATTCCTGCAGTTGATGGCAGAGGAAAGAGGTTTGATAGTAGATGTTGAGGGTTTCAATAATGCCATGGATGAGGCCAGGGAAAAGTCAAGGAGTGCAAGAAATAAGGTAATAGGAGTTCGATTTGTGTATCCAGTAAACTCTTTGTTAATAATGTGCTAGGTATAAAATCTTTCTAATAAGTAAATGATGCTAGGCATTCTTAGATGCAGTGTTCACGTAATTTTTTTCTCCATATTCCGTGCTAATAGAAGCTATTGTCATGGATGCTGATGCTACCTCTGCACTGCACAAGAAGGGGGTGTCTACAACAGATGATTCCTTCAAATTCGTTTGGTTCAAGGTCTGCATGCATCTTTAGATGGCACTTCAGTAGATGTCTTTTAGTCTGGGTTATTATTTTGGTTAGAGAAAATATTGAAGGTTCAATGAGTCGTTGGCTACTAAGAGAGATTTCTGTTTCAGCTGCATCATGATGGGGACCAGATTTTCTCTCTATTTTTTAACATCTATAAGATGATAGTGAAAATTTTAGTGAAGCTTGGGAAGGGTGTTGATAAATTTATATTCTCTTTTAAAATCTCTGTTTCTTGGTTGTTTAACTTTCGTCTCTGTCTTAAAACCATTCCTTTCTCCTGTTTAGTAACTGATAATATTAGAGGTAAATAATTATCTATTGCCTATGGTATCAGAAAAACTATGTTCCTTATGTTACTCTTTTTCTCTAGAATCTAGATTTTTAAAATAACAAGATCTTACTGTATGATTTTCTCCTTTTTATGGTATCATATTATTTATCGGCATTAATGGCATTGCTTCGGAATTTTCATTGTTGTAGAATTTCTGTCTTTCTGTTGATATGTAGTGATGTATCACTTTTAAAGTAACTACATTGCCAGTCTTTTTTTCTGGGGGTCATGTACCTTTTATAATTTAGGATCTCTGCTGGGGGTGTTGTTATCTAATAGGACTTTTCTGTTCAAAGTCATTACTCTTTAGAAGGGCAGCTTCCCATCCCTATCCTTTTGAAGATGGAGTATTCCATGATTTGAAGTTTCTCACACCATGAAAGTGCGATAAAGGCCATATACACTGGTTCTGAGTTTGTGGAAAGTGCGACTGCTGGCGATGATGTTGGTATAGTTTTGGAATCTACAAGTTTCTATGCTGAGCAAGGTGGTCAGGTATTTAATTTCAGTGTGTGAAAAGGTTTATCTTAACAATGTTTCCATTTTTTGGGTCTGTATGAACCAGTTTCATACAATCCGTAGTGCCACAAACTTTAAATATGTTGATTATATTTGAGACCAAGAAATTTCTGGTTTTGTGATTGATATAGGATGGAAAAGGTTGAATCCTGCAGGTTAAAGCAAAATGACAAAGAAATATCCAGCTAATTAAGGTAGCTAGTCCGGGGGAGAGTATATCAGGCTTAGGATTGAAATTTGGTGGTTGCTTTTATCAGGGTTTGGTCAAGGTTTTCTAGATGGCTTTATTAGGTTTTAAAGGGAAATAACTTTGTGCTGGTTTTATATTTTGTTTTAAGTTTGAGAAGTTCCTGAAATAGAAAAGAAAGGCAATTATGATTCATGCATCACTTTAAGCTTTCCTTAGGTATAATATATGTATATTAATAGGAATTTATGTGAGTCAAGTGATTGCTTTCCTTTGTTGTGCTTTCTTTATTCATCTGACGCATTTACTTGTGGACATAGATTTTTGATATCGGATCTCTTGATGGTCCCTTCGGTTCCTTCCAAGTATGCAATGTTCAAATTTTTGGAGGTTTTGTACTTCTTATTGGTTCTCTTTCTGGAGTTACTGGCAAATTCTCTGTTGGTGATAAAGTAACTCGTAAGGTAAAACCATAAGCTTCAAATTGCCTTTTATTTTTGTTCCACAGAACGATTAGCTTCATTTTATTTTCAACCCTTTCATTATTGTAATTATTTCTGTAGGTTGACTATGACAGACGGACATTGATTGCTCCTAACCATACTTGCACACATATGTTGAACCATGCTCTTAGGGTTCGACTTAATATGCTGATATCCATAATTCTTTATCAGTTTCCTATTTTTTATTAGTTTTCCATGTTTCACATTCTTTAAATTTGAATGTAGGAAGTGCTTGGTAATCATGTTGACCAGAAGGGGTCTATTGTTCTTCCTAAAAAATTGAGGTTTGATTTTTCCCATGGTAAGTTTAGCTCAGGACGTCTTTGATAAACGGTTGAATATTTAAATCATTGAGTATTAAAAATTTCAATGGTTATTCATTTTACGAACCACTTATTGAAGCATTAGGAACCTTGAGTATAGTTAGCTACTTATTGTGTCAGACAGTCAATTCAATTGAAGGAAAAATTTATTTTTCCATTTACAATAATCTCACATCTTTTCCTTTTACATAAGAAATTTAGTACTTTAAATTTTCTTAGCTTTTCCATTTAACATTAATCTCACATCTTTTCCTTTTACATAAGAAATTTAGTACTTCAAATTTTCTTAGATTTTACAATTGATTCAAATAGCCGATCTACTGGGCATTTCATTTTCAGTATTTTATTTTTATAAGAATAGGAGGCCTCATTAAAAAACCCCTTCACGATTAATGGAGCTCGTAAAAAGCTCTTTAATCAGTGGAAGGAGGAAAATAGTGCCTTAGAATTTCATTAAAATCATAATAAGTACATAGGAATTACAACACCCTAAAGCTCCCTTAAAGGAAATAGAGTACCAAAAAAACATCCCTAAAGAACAACACATAAATCTTTAACAATATCTTTAACAATATAAGCATATACATCTGGACATAATTCTCCTATTAACCCATCTAATAACACCTTCAAAAACTCTAAGTCTTTGAACAATATCTTTAACAATATAAGCATATGCATCTGGACATAATTCAACTTTCTTAATCCAGTCTACTGCCACCCTGCTGTCACTCTCAATAATCAAACAATCCTTAATCAGCTCACAAAAAGAGACAAAGAACGATAAACCCTTTTGAATAGCTTTTAATTCCATCAAGGTAGGAGGCCCCAGACCAGCAGACTCCTTAAAAGAGCCTAAGATCGAGCCAAAAACATCTTTTAAAACACCTCCTAACCCACTTCTCTTCCAATCATTGGTAGTAGCAGCATCAACATTTAATTTGATAAAGCCTTTGGGAGGAGGAGACCAAGGGAACTTAGATATAATCGGGTTAGAGTAGAAAGAACAAGAATCCTCTAAGGAATGATCATATATAAGTGAATCCTTAGAGATAGAAACCTCTTTATACTTTGCTAAAATCCATGAAGCAAGCCTAAACCTTGCTAAGAAGAATTCAACTTTATTTAACTTCCCCCTTCAAACACAATAGAATTCCAAGTGGTCCAAAGACAACTCCTGGAATAAATGATCATATAGCTGAGTTAGTCTTCAAATCATCCCAGGCTAGGAGAAAGCTTTTGGCATTAGCATGAAAAACAGAATTAATCTTCCAAAACTTCATAAATTTATTCCATAAAGGCCACACCACCGAACAAGTAAAAAATAAATGAGAGGAAGACTCTTCCACCAACTTGCAAAGAGGACATAACACATCTTCAATACCCTGAACTCATCTTTTAACCAGTTTTGTCTTCACTGCCAGCTTCTAAAGAACAACTTGCCACACAAATGACTCCACTCTTGGAGGCCGCAGACTCCTCCAAATTATATTCTTCTAGAAATGGACCTCCTCCGACCCCGAAGAACCCGAATAACAGAGATTAACACAAGATTTAATAGAATACACCCCATCCCCAGTGCCTTTCCAAACCATCCCATCAGAAGATTCTATAGATAGGAAAAAATTCGAATTGACAGCCATCAAATTAGACCACTGCTCAAATTCCCAATCATTCAAATCCCTTCTCAATTGAACATCCCAAAACCATCCCATTGAGTTATATTTGCCAAACTCAAATAATTTACCAATCTTGTTTAAGGAAATAGAAAATAGTCTAGGGAAAATGACCAAAAGTGGATGATCCATAACCCAAACATCTTGCCAAAACCGAATAATTTTACAATCGCCAACTTGAAAATTGTACATGCTTCTAAACTTAGAACCAATAAAGTCTTCTTTGAAATGGTTATTCACCATAGATCTCCAAATCCAAGAAGCTTTAGGTGGAACCTTACTGTCAAACAATAATAAGGATGAATCCATGTTATATTTAGTACATATCATTTTCCTCCAAACAACATTCCTGTCATTGACAAAACTCCAAGACCATTTTCCTAAAAGTGCTCTGTTCATCATGTTGATATTCAGAACTCCTAAGCCACCCTCGTTCTTTAGTTTGCAAACAACGAACCAACTAACCCAATGAATCTTATTTTTACCATTTCCCCCTCCCATAAAAAAATAGACATAATTGAGTTAAGGGTTTTGTACACTGAAGCTGGAACCATAATCAAACAATCCTTAATCAGCTCACGAAAAGAGACAAAGAACGATAAACCCTTTTGAATAGCTTTTAATTCCATCAAGGTAGGAGGCCCCAGACCAGCAGACTCCTTAAAAGAGCCTAAGATCGAACCAAAAACATCTTTTAAAACACCTCCTAACCCACTTCTCTTCCAATCATTGGTAGTAGCAGCATCAACATTTAATTTGATAAAGCCTTTGGGAGGAGGAGACCAAGGGAACTTAGATATAATCGGGTTAGAGTAGAAAGAACAAGAATCCTCTAAGGAATGATCATATATAAGTGAATCCTTAGAGATAGAAACCTCTTTATACTTTGCTAAAATCCATGAAGCAAGCCTAAACCTTGCTAAGAAGAATTCAACTTTATTTAACTTCCCCCTTCAAACACAATAGAATTCCAAGTGGTCCAAAGACAACTCCTGGAATAAATGATCATATAGCTGAGTTAGTCTTCAAATCATCCCAGGCTAGGAGAAAGCTTTTGGCATTAGCATGAAAAACAGAATTAATCTTCCAAAACTTCATAAATTTATTCCATAAAGGCCACACCACCGAACAAGTAAAAAATAAATGAGAGGAAGACTCTTCCACCAACTTGCAAAGAGGACATAACACATCTTCAATACCCTGAACTCATCTTTTAACCAGTTTTGTCTTCACTGCCAGCTTCTAAAGAACAACTTGCCACACAAATGACTCCACTCTTGGAGGCAGCAGACCCCTCCAAATTATATTCTTCTAGAAATGGACCTCCTCCGACCCCGAAGAACCCGAATAACAGAGATTAACACAAGATTTAATAGAATACACCCCATCCCCAGTGCCTTTCCAAACCATCCCATCAGAAGATTCTATAGATAGGAAAAAATTCGAATTGACAGCCATCAAATTAGACCACTGCTCAAATTCCCAATCATTCAAATCCCTTCTCAATTGAACATCCCAAAACCATCCCATTGAGTTATATTTGCCAAACTCAAATAATTTACCAATCTTGTTTAAGGAAATAGAAAATAGTCTAGGGAAAATGACCAAAAGTGGATGATCCATAACCCAAACATCTTGCCAAAACCGAATAATTTTACAATCGCCAACTTGAAAATTGTACATGCTTCTAAACTTAGAACCAATAAAGTCTTCTTTGAAATGGTTATTCACCATAGATCTCCAAATCCAAGAAGCTTTAGGTGGAACCTTACTGTCAAACAATAATAAGGATGAATCCATGTTATATTTAGTACATATCATTTTCCTCCAAACAACATTCCTGTCATTGACAAAACTCCAAGACCATTTTCCTAAAAGTGCTCTGTTCATCATGTTGATATTCAGAACTCCTAAGCCACCCTCGTTCTTTAGTTTGCAAACAACGAACCAACTAACCCAATGAATCTTATTTTTACCATTTCCCCCTCCCCATAAAAAAATAGACATAATTGAGTTAAGGGTTTTGTACACTGAAGCTGGAACCATAACAAGGACAAAAAATATGTTGGAAGCGAACATAGAACTGACTTAATCAATACCAATCTCCCTGCCAATGAAAGAGAGGATGCCTTTTAACCCGCTAATATTTTGTTGAAATTATGAACCACTGGATCCCAAAGAACTGAAGAATTTCTATTAGCCCCAAGAGGAAATCCTAGGTAATCTGAAGGAAAGCAGCTTACTGAACATCTAATTGTCTTTGCCCACTCCTGAACTTCCTCTTCATTCAAATTAACCCCAAACAATTTACACTTCTTTAGATTCAACTGTAGACCCGAAATAACTTCAAACGCTCGAAGCGCCCTCTTCACATTCAAAATCTACGTCTTCGAAGCACCACAAAAGATGATAAGATCATCAGCAAATTGTAGATGAGATAAATTAAAAGTCCCTTCCTCCCTGCCAATAACCATACCAGAAAATAACCCCTCTGAAACAACCTTAAGTATCAATAAATTAAGAAGTTCCCCTACTAAATTGAACAGCAAAGGAGATAAAGAACAACCCTGGCGAAGACCCTTTGCCATTGGGAATTCCTCTGAAGGAACCCCATTAACTAAAACTGAAACAGAGGCTGTTGTGACACATTTCCTGATCCAACCACTCCATCTGGAACCGAAACCCATTTTCTCCATTACTTTGAACAAAATAGTCCAATCAATTGTATCATATGCCTTCTTGAAATCAACCTTGAAAACACAACCCTTTATTCCATTTTTCCTCCAAAAATCTATCCCCTCATTAGCAATTAGAGAACAATCCAAAATTTGACGACCGGGGATGAAAGCAAATTGTGTTGGACTAATGATGTCTGAAATACAACTCCTTAACCTCCTCGAAAGACATTTAGAAAGGATCTTATATAACCCACCTACTAAGCTAATAGGTCTATAGTCATCTAGGCCACCAATATTTGAACTCTTTGGAATGAGAGTAATAAAAGTATGATTAATACTATGTTCCCATTCTTTCCCCAAGTAGAAATTGTGAAAGAAATTCATAATGTCTTCCTTAAGGACATACCAAAACCTTTTGAAAAAGCCCAAATTCAGACCATCTGGCCCCGGAGCTTTATTACTATCACAGGACTTCAAAGTTTCCCATATTTCCTCCTCAAAAAATTGTTTTTTCTAAAAACAGGCTCTGCTCCAAAGAAATTCTGGAAAAATTCAACCTTATGTCATTAACTTCCAAGGTAGACCAATCATTAAAAGTTATAAAGAAATGATCCCTGACAGTGTCCTTAATAACAGACGGGTCTTGAATTATCTTTCCCCTAATATTTAGAACATCCAAGGCATTCCTCTTTCTCCTTGCTGTAACATAAGTATGGAAAAATCTAGTGTTACGATCCATATCTTCTACCATCTTCTACCCACTTCGATCTGGAATACTGGAACCAAAAATGCTTCTCTATCTTGTAAAGTCTCCACAATTCTGTTCTATGAATGTTCAATTATGCTGCTATCTCACTGTCAATTACACCTTGCTGCTGCTGAACATCAAACTCTAACTTTTGAATCTTCCTTTCTAATTCGGTAATCAATGTTCCTGGAAACTGATCTCTCTTCCCAGCCCAATTTTTTATTGCAAATTTGGTTCTCTTCAAAAGACTGACAATTCCAGCTTTCCTCTGATTTTTCTTACAATCTTGAATAGAAGACTTAACCAATTCCTCAAAACCATCCTCCTTCATCAAATAACTAAAGAGTCTAAACGGTTTTTTACCCCAATTAACTCCTTCATTCTCAAGTGTTATAGCGTTGTGATCTCAGACCTTGGAAGAAGAGATTGAACAATATCCGGAAAAGCAGCCAGAAATTAACCATCAACCAAAAAATGATTCAATCTTACAAAAGTAGGATTATCTTGATTATTACACCAAGTGAACCTGTCCCCATTCAAAGGTAGATCAATTAGACCTGATTGAAGAATAAACTGATTAAAGATTCCCATTCAATTTCTGTTTTGACCTATGCCAACCTTCTTTTCTTCATACAAGTAAGCATTAAAACCCCTCCCACACAAACAGGAAGATTCTATCCACTTAAGTACATGCTTAGTTCTTCAAAAAAAAACTAGCTTTCTCCTCCTCCACTGAAGGACCGTAAACATTGATAAATCCACATCTAAAATTATTAACTCGAAATTTACCTGAAATATCTATAAATCTTCTGCTAATGTACTGATTTTCCAGCTCAAAATATTTTCATCCCAACAACACAATAAACCCCCTGATGATCCAACCGATGGAGAGTCAATAAAACCTTTAAGATTATTTAGCCCACTTCTTCTAAGAAAAGATCTCTGAATCTTCTCTGTTTTGGTTTCTTGCAGCCAAAGAAAAGAATGATAGATCTTATATACTAAATTCTGAACAACCCTCTGTTTTTCTTTTTTCCCAAATCCCTAACATTCCATGAAACAATGATTAACTTTTTATTCATCATTATAAAACAAACAATCTAATCACCCCCTTCAAATTTACCTTGGTTAACCACTTTCGAACCTTTCTCTAAATTAATGATTTTTTCCAAAAAGGTTGATTTCCCTTGCTTAAAAGACACCCCCATAAGCTTACTTACTTCCCAAGTAGCTAAAGTTTTCTCCAAGAAATCCGAGAAGGCTGAAAAGGAAGTTGTTGCAATACTCACTTGTTTTAGGGCTTTCCTTAACAAAATTGTTAAAAAAAACCAGATTTGAAATTTGAACATTCTCCTTCTGAAAACCAACCTTCAAACTCCCTATCCACACTCCTTTCCTCTGAACATCTATCATTAGTAGGCTCCTCACACCCATAAGCATTCATATATGTTGTTAAACAAATCTTTTGACTAGCACTAAGGGACAAATCTTTTCCTTCCTGACTGACTATGGCTTCCTGTCTTTCAGGCATAAACTTCACTACATTCCCAAACCAATATTTCATGTCCCTAGACCTCTTATAAACCCTTTTATAGTTGCTCATGCTTCTGTTTTCTACCGGATCACTCTTAGTAGAAAACGATCTTTTAGATCGGTAAAGTTGTCTACCCCTTGAATTATTTCCTGAATTATTAGTGATAGACTCTACCAGTCTTAAATCAACATCTTGAAACTCAATTCCAGCACTATCAGGTAGCTCTGCATTTGAACTCTTTCCCGTATCTTCTTTCTTTTTACTACCAGTCTCAATCAAATCCAGATTCTGAATCATTTTCCCAAACTTGTTGATTTTAAATGCTGGGCCAGAAGGAATTACCTTTAAACCCAGACTGCCCATTATCTTCTAACTGGGCCTGTGACCCATCAGCCGAAATATTTGAATTTCTAATACCCAAATCGGCAAACTCCCCCACTTTTATACTCCCAACATTTTGACTTTTTGACAGCCCACATTTAATGTATTTCCTATCTATGGAAAGCCTTGGAAAATGTTGTTCCCCACCAACTCCACCAAACCTTATACTCCCAACATTCTAACTTTCTGACAGCCAACATTTAATGTATTTCCTATCTATGGAAAGCTTTGGAAAATGTTGTTCCCCACCAACTCCACCAAACCCAAGAGTAGCTCCCTGGTCAATCCACTTGTCAACTCTCAGCCGATTTTCTTCTGCTGAACATACTAAACCTTTCCTACTTTCTGACAGCACTCTGTCTTCTTCCTCTTCAGACATCAACTCTCCAAAATTTCCCCCACCAGAACCATCCACCGGAGTTACTCTGGAAAAAGAACTTGAAGACTTGCACGCCAATCCAACCTTAATATTCACTTTAAAGGATCTTCCATATGATCCAAGAGTGATCACCTCCGGAACATCAAAAGGACTTGCCACCCTCATTAAAATTCTCGCCGTTGTGGATCTTCTTTGTTTCTAGTGGCAAACTCCCCCACTTTTATACTCCCAACATTCTGACTTTCTGACAGCCCACATTTAATGTATTTCCTATCTATGGAAAGCCTTGGAAAATGTTGTTCCCCACCAACTCCACCAATCCTTATACTCCCAACAGTCTAACTTTCTGACAGCCCACATTTAATGTATTTCCTATCTATGGAAAGCCTTGGAAAATGTTGTTCCCCACCAACTCCACCAAACCCAAGAGTAGCTCCCTGGTCAATCCACTTGTCAACTCTCAGTCGATTTTCTTCTGCTGAACATACTACACCTTTCCTACTTTTTGACAGCACTTTGTCTTCTTCCTATTCAGACATCAACTCTCCAAAATTTCCCCCACCAGAACCATCCACCGGAGTTACACTGGAAAAAGAACTTGAAGACTCGCACGTCGATCCAACCTTAATATTCACTTTAAAGGATCTTCCGTATGATCCAAGAGTGATCACCTCCGGAACATCAAAAGGACTTGCCACCCTCATTAAAATTCTCGCCGTTGTGAGATCTTCTTTGTTTCTAGTGGCATTATGTATGTCAACCACCGTTCCCCATCTCCCTGCTATCTGTTCCAAGAATGGATCATTCCAGCATAATAGAGGGACCCCAAATAATTCCACCAGACGATCATTAGGACTCCATCATTCAATAATGGAGCCAATCGATCAAGCCAAAAATCTAATTCTTCTTCCCTTTTCGTCCATACATCCAACATCTCTTCGGATGATTCAAAAACTATTGCGCAAGAATTCCATACATAGCCCCATCTAGCAATTTGGACATCATAACCTTCATTAACTAAAGCCTTCTGAACTAACTCAATCTGAAATGAATGTTTAATGATCCCCGTTAATGACCTTTTAACCCAGCTGGAGCTTTCAAAGGGAATATGCATTTCTAAAATATTTTTCTTAACTTTCCCCCTGTGAAGACCATCAGATGAAAACTCCCTGTTCCCCAGTACACTTCTGTTCAACATCAGAGCATCTTTATAAGTTCTATCATCCCTTATGCTTCTGTTAAAGTCTTCTACCTCTTTTGAGTTTGATGTTTCTGCGATATTCTGTCTGAAAACCTTCTTTGAAGAACCATTCTTCCCTACTATCCTTGAACAAACTTCCTTATATCTTGCACCACCAACTGTAATCTTCCTTCCATCTATCAATGCACCATTTAATTTATCTACTGCCCTCTTCAAACCTGCCTCATTCTTAAACTGAACGAAAGCAAAAGTGGAGAATTTGTATTTTGGATTTGTTGTTTCTTTGGAAATGAAAATTCTCTCAACAGGACCATGAACTAAGAACATTGCCCTTAAAGCACGTCGAGACACCCTCCTACTAAGATTGTTCACGAACACCGCAAATCTCATCGGAAACTGACTTTTCTTTCAACTTTTCTCTCTCTCACTCATCGTTTCTCTTTATGCAGGACTTCAGTATCATACCAACAATTTTTCCATCATAGAGTCAGTATATCAATCTAAACTAAAAGTTGAACACTGATTTTTTGGGGGGTTTTTTCCAGTTATGCTATTTAGTTTGCAGTAAGCTAAAATTTGATCTAATGTTATCAGATCCAAACAGAGATGGTGCCATCAATGCTGATCATTTGAGAAAAATCGAGTCCATTGTGAATGAGCAAATAAAATCTGAGTTAGATGTATATTCAAAGGAGGTAACGCTTGCTGAAGCCAAGCGTATCAACGGTTTGCGAGCCGTATTTGGAGAAGTAAGCTTAAGCATTTTTTTTCATTATGGCTTTCTAATTTGGCTTTGCTCAATCCTTTTAGAAGTTATACTGGAATTATATTTCCAAAGCAGGTTTATCCTGATCCAGTTAAAGTAGTGGCCATTGGTAAGAACGTGGAGGACCTCCTTGCTGATCCTGAAAACAAAGAATGGTCATCCATATCATCGGAACTGTGTGGAGGTATTTCTTTATTTAAACATTTGCTCTTTTATCTGAGGAGGGAATCGCTAAAGGGGTTCGAAGGATAACTGACAATGGTGGAGTTTAGTATTCTGGGAATCAACTTCAAGCGTAACTGTGTTCTATAAGGTGCCAGCCATTTAAGCATTTTTTGCCTCTGAATTACTGCTCGTAGAAACTTGAATTTTGAGGAGGGTTTAGGGTTTAGTTTATTCAGTTTATGGTAAATGGAATGTACTTCCGTTTATGTGGTTTAGTTTAATCAGTTTTGTGGATTACATTTGATGCCTTTAAATTTTATATTGCATATTGGTAACTAGGAGCCAGACACACAATAAATCTTTCTTTTATTAAATGTTAAGAGTTGACGCATGGGACTAGATTTTTGGAAAAAGTAGGGAAGCCTTTGCAGCAAGTGAAATGATTTCAATTTCTTGGACTACTGACCGAGCATTCTAGATGAGAGATAATACCTAATTAGTGCACCAATTATAGTAGTTTTTTTTTTCAGGTTCTTGCCATGAAAGAAAAGTTTGACAAAAGTCTTAAAGATTTGCATTTACTCTACCTCAAATCGCCTAAACACAGTGAATCTAGGCATTCCGGTTTCGGGGATATCTCAACTATAATGATTACTACTCTAACGAGAATGAAATGAGCTATTATGCTTTCTCAATATGAAGTCTTTTCCATGAAGATCAAAAGTGGGCAATGATTTGTATTCTTTTGTGCCATAAGAGTTCAAGAAACAAGCTCGAAGTTGAAGTCCATGGTTTGGATTTAGATAATCTGTTGGAGTCTTAGCAGCAGCCAACCTGCACCATATCATCTTTGTTCTGCTGCTGTTGATGTTCATACGAGGTAAGGCGTAAACCCTTTATTTAGTTGGTTATGGTGAAGAAGTAGCATGCTATTTGACATCTGTTGTGTTTCTTGTCTCTCTTTGAAAATGCAGAATAAGGAAAATGTGCATTTTTTAAGTTTGACAAGGATATAATTCCTTACCTAATTGTCTCTTCCTCACTGTAGGTTGGAACCTTGAATGAGGTATGAAATAAGGTTCACTATGCATACCTAAAGTTGTTCCTGAAATTTGAGCTTGGACTTGTAGGTTTAGCTTTTTATGAGCAACATATTACTTTTTTTATGCTTTAACTCTCTGGCCAATGATATTTTTTTTATTCAGGATCTTCATTCTCACCCCCAATACTAAAATTAATAGATCCAAACATAGAGGCCTAATTTGGTTTTAAAAGCTTTCTAGTGCAAAAAGTTCTGTTGTTAAAGTAGGAAGAAATGGATGTTAGGGATAGTCCTTGAGGAGTTAAGTTTCACAATAATAAATAGTAGATTTGCTTATCTTCCCTTGACAGTGCATGTTAGTGAGGCTTGAAATTGGTTGTATTTTACTAGATTTTTTAGGCAAGTTCTAGTTATGAATCTTGCCAAAGCCAGGCCTTTTGTTTCAGTTCTGCCCCTTCCCCGTTGATAAATGTTTGGGGTCTTCTTTTATTTGCATCTTGATGTTAATCATAATTTTTCAGTACTTACGACCGAATGCTCCACCGTAAAAGAAAAAGGGAAATATTTTACTTTTCTTCAAGCCCTACGATATTGAGAAAGCAAAGCTTCGGTAGGTTGTTGTGTTGTCTATTTCTCCTTGTCTTTTGATAGTTGCGTGAAATCTTATTTGGGTTATCTTTCTGCTCTATTATGTATGTTGGAGGGTTGTTTGTGAAAAGTGCAAGGAAGCCAATAGAAATCTTGTTCAAATTAAACAAAATGACAGGGTATACTCCTGATGAAGAGACCAATCTTTATGAGGTTAGCTTCTAGCAATATCTTTTCTCAGTGGTGCAATTTTTCTGCTTATTGTTTCAACAAACCCGGTCATAATTATAAGGATGCAGTGAGGAGCTTGAGTTTTCATTTTGTAGTAAAACACCAATAGGATTTCTCATCAAACTGCAAATAAGTTGTTTATCAATTAACTATTAAAATAAAAGAGAAGACCACACCACAAAATAAAAACAATATTAACACCGTCACTATAACAAAAGCAACAAGCATTTGTGACGAAAAGAAATAAAATATAAACAAGTTATTTGATTCTGCGAAGGATCCTCCAGTCATGCGCATACAAATCCTTTCAATGGTTGGCAATTGTGTCTCTAAGTTATTTGATTTCTTGCTTTTATATTCTATTTATTATCTGAATTCTTATATCAATATACCGTCATGTTTACTATTAGGCACCAGCCAAGAAAGGTAGAGATTTCTTGCATTTCCTGCAAAACAAGAGGGTTCCAGCTGTTGTGGAATATGGTCACCATTTTAAGCTGTTGATCCCTAAGCTTGTAGCATTGCCTTTCTCATTTTATGGTGTCAGATGTCCTGGTCGTGATGAGCCCTACTCAGATGAAGCCATAGCAGTAATGAGACGAAAGATCATGTAGAGTGATGTGGAGGTATGGGTTATCTTTGAGTTGCTTGTCTGCCATCATCTTGTCACGATCTTCTTCATGACTCACTCTCTTCTCTATAAAATACCGGCCAACAATCTTGCTCTCACATGTCACGGTTCTCCATTTAAATTAGGAGTGAATTACCAAACAATCGACGAGTCCTACTTGTTCCATCAACAAGTACAAATAATACTAATCCGCTCGCTACCTTTTCACCCGCTTCTGAAGTCATCTTTGCTTGTCATTTATAAGGTGACCACTTCTTAATCACTTCAACTGTAATGTCAGTTTGGTTGATAATTAGACTTTCAAACTAAATATATCTTTCTGGCATTCTTTTCTTATACAAAACAATCAAGAGAGCAGTGAGATCTTTTCCCCCATTTTTAGCCAAATTAAAGAAGCAAAATATGCGCTTCTAAACAATCCAGACACCAACGTCTTGTCGGGAAAACACATCCACCAGCAGCCTAAGGTGACTCTATATGTTGCTCAATCTATAGTCTAAATTCAAGAGCTCCCACACCGCTATTGTTAAATTTGAACACCTGCAGATGTAGCTGAAGTTAGCTGAGTTATTCAACTTGAAGTAAATTCAGCATTGGAACACATAAAGTAAATTCAGCATTTTCTTAGATATATGAAGGTCTCAGAACATGCACTTGGCCACTTGCTCAGGTTTAATAGACCACCAAAGCTTGTTATTTAAGAAGAGCAGACCACGGTGCTTATAATGACCCAGTAAGTTGTAATGTGGATTTTGGACTTTACCGCAGCTAGGTTGTCGATATCAAGTCCGACATGTACAGCAGGCAGAGGTTCGAACTCGATGATGCACTCTGTCAAATCCACCATTCTCTTAAAAAGCAATTAAGGGAATACGAGGACAGCTGCATTATGAGGCTAAATTCACCATAGCTTAATGCAAAAGCTGAAACTGCTGATGCCACTTTCGTGTCCCGTCTCTGACTTCTCAGCAAATCGATACTTTGGACTCAATATCTATTTTAATTATGAATTAAAATTAATTTATGTCTATTTTAATTAATAAATTTATACTTGGATATTTGAATTTGGGACTTGAAGACTTTATTAATTAAGTAAAAGGAAGCTCAAACATATGATGCAAATAAGCTTGATCAATGCACCAACTTATTTAGTCCCTTTCAACTTTCTTTTCATTAGTTCACTCTCTTAGTTTTCTCTCGTGGGTAAGCCGTTCATTTCTTTTTCTTTTTGTCTTTGTTGATTGGTGGTGGCACTAACTTTAATGTTGATTGCCAACTGCTAATATTCTTTATTGTCCTTTTATTTTCTTTTATTTTTTATTTGCAATAAGTCGGCTTGTATGATACATTTTCATAGGTTTTTATGGCACGTTTTCTTCAGCCTTTTGTCAAGATTTTCATTCGTTTGGTCGTTATATCTTTTTTTAAGGGTTGATTTAACATCGTCACGACTGATCAAGATGTCACTTATCTATTATATTGATGATCTTCCTTGCTTTAAACCTTCAGATTGGATTTGGATATCTGTTATGCGTTCGTGGATAGCTTTTCAAGTCTTTCGAGTATGATTTGCGATTTTTTGTAGTATTTCAGTAGCTTGATCTCCTTTTGTAATTCATTTGCCGAAACGATCAGATTTGTTTGTATCTACCTTCGTTCAAGTTTTCTTGGTTAGATTTTAGTCTTTTATTGTATGGTCCTTGTGTGATGTTAGTTTTGTTTAAATGATTATAATAAATTGTGTGCTTAATTTACGATTATGATTGTAAATATTTTATTATAATTTAATATATTTCCTATTTTGAATAAAATTAGTGATTTCTATTTTTTAAAAAAAAAAACTTTCTTTTCACTCAAGAAAGCTTATATTTTTTAACTCCTAATTAAATACTCTCTTCATATATCTCCTTATAAATAGATGTGCTTGATTTCTTATGATTCATACCAATTTTCTTACAAAATTTGTTGATATATACCTTAAATATTAGAGAGTGTAGTCGATTAATATCTTCTTAGGGAATATAGACCTGTGAAAATAATCTATATAGGGATCACATATATATAAATTATGTGTTCAAATTTGGGAGGTACGTACACACCTAGCATCTACCGAATTTTGTATTATATTTGTTTTGTTAAATATCAAGCTTAATTCGATTTTGAAGACAAATTAAACTTATGTTGCACATTTTTTCTTAATATTTCAATTTGAGACCATCATTTATCATTGCAAAGCCTCTAAAACTTTTTTCAATTATGAAGTTTGAAATAATGATATCGTCTTATTCTTTCTATCCTAGGGATTTAAATTTATACAACATAGTTAGCTTCTCCCAAATCATTCATGCTAAATTGTTGAGTTAAACACAACTTAAAATCAATTATAATATCTCAATTGAAATACACGACTAGGGAAACCACTTGACGTTTCTAAACATTCATCCTTGTTAATTTCACGAGTTCACACAAATGGAGACATCACACATGTTAAAGTAAATGTACGAGATTCAGATACGAAAGTAAGAGAAAAAATTCAAATTAAAAACACAAATTTTGAAATAACCCCAAAACTTTGAAAACCTTCATTTCAACCCATTAACCTTTAACCTCGTCACCGAACCACCCTTCTCTGATCGGGAGTGGTTTACACCGGCGCTCCCACCGAACTAAGCAGCAACCGGCGTGTAACACCCCCAACCCGTATCCGACCCGGATACGAGTCCGAAGTGTCACATTGACTTTTTAAACATTCATTCGTATAAAATAGTGGGTAATTAAAACTTTGATAACATTCTTCATTTCAACCCATTAACCTTTAACCTCGTCACCGAACCACCCTTCTCTGATCGGGAGTGGTTTACACCGGCGCTCCCACCGAACTAAGCAGCAACCGGCGTGTAACACCCCCAACCCGTATCCGACCCGGATACGAGTCCGAAGTGTCACATTGACTTTTTAAACATTCATTCGTATAAAATAGTGGGTAATTTAAAACTTTGATAACATTTAATTTATTTCAAAGCGTTTACAACAGATATCAGAGTTCATACCATTTATATCTTTAGACTACATGCCAACTACACTCTGTAACAGTACATACATTTTCTGATCTGACATTTGGTAAGGAAAACTGCCTGTCTTGCTCCGCATTACTCTTTACTCTTCTGGAAACCTACGCGTGAAACAATCACACGCTAAGTCGAAGACTTAGTGAGGCATAACGACTTATAATGCACTTTAAAACATATATCGATACATGCATGTTCTTTTCTATCATGTTATAGCAATTCCATGCATTCTTCGTATCATATAAAATCATATCAGATTAATTACAGTAAATACATACAGACACATAATTCATCATTAACAGTTTATCATGTAATCACATACTTTTATTGTTAACCTTTTCAATCAAACACTATACACACACAACATCATATGGTTCACGTAACACATTTCAAACCACTTATAACCCCATCGTATACATATCACATTCAGTATGCTTGTTTAATCACTTTATTAGCCCATGTACACTAGTGAGAACTTAAGGTATGTGAGTACATTGAGGTTGTGCACACATATGCTGTCACCACAGCTCGATCAATGTCCCGAAGGACCAGTCCATAGATTCCGAAGAACCTAGGTAATCAGTCCATATGTCCCGAAGGACATAGGTAAACAGTCCATATGTTCCGAAGAACATAGGTAAACAGTCCATATGTTCCGAAGAACATAGGTAAACAGTCCATATGTTCCGAGAACATAGGTAACCCTCGACCCTTGGCATGCCAACTATACCCCTAGCTCTCATATCACATAACATGGGCATTATCATTTATAACAGTTCACATTACTTATTCATATTCTTTCTCTTATAACCACATATCTTTTCTTTTCAGTCACGTATCACATGTACGTGTAAACATATATCTAATATCATATGTTGCATGCAATCACATAGATCTTATCTCATAACATATACTTGTAGTCACATAGTTCAGTTTCACATATGTTCATATATATACATTACATAGCACATACTTCTCATAACATTACATTCAAAAGCATGTTAACACATAATCATGCATACATACAATTCATGTCATTCATATACGTATAATCATATATTCATGCATTCTAACAGAGGAAATAGACTTGTCGCAAGTCTTGTTTCCATTTAGCACCATAAACTAATTAATATGCACTCACCTGGCCTCACTAGTCAATTCCAATCTCTTATCTTTCCCCTTGATCGATCTTACTTGCCAAACGTTCCGGAATTCTTATGCGTAGAATCTACATAAATGTACATTTCGAGGTAATCATTAGATACCTACACCTTGTAATTGAATACTAGCAACTTAAACGAACTTATTAAACCAATATTAACATTTTTCTTTAGGGGGAATCGGTTCCCTACCATGGGGGTATCGATTCCCTCAAGACATTCTGGAATTCTGTCGTTTGAAGGGGTATCGGTTCCCCTTGAATGGGTACCGATTCCCCTTGCCCAGAAATCAATTTTCAACCGAAAATTACTTCATTTCCACTCAAACCCTTCATATATCATCCCCTTTTCATTCTTAACTCTAGTATACATACTTAAACCAATCTATATTCATTTATTTCATCTTAAACCTCAAAATCCTATCTTCCATATGAGATTCAAAAATCATACCAAATTTTCAATGTGTTCTAATTCCAATTCTAACACTCCAAATCTCTTAATTTAACCATTGACAAGTCAAATTTAACTTCAAATTCTACTTATCAATTCCTTTCCAAAATTTCATATAAAAACTCCAAATCTTTAATCTCTCTTAACCTCTCCATCATTGTTTTTAAGATGATTTAAGCTTTCCTTAAGCTTAGTTATCATCTAATAATCAAAACCCAACCTTAAAATCAACAATTCATTTACAAACAAAGAACTTACCTTTTGAAGCTAGCCCCACGTGAAGAAGAGAAGGCAAGAAGAAGAAAGCTTCCAGATAGCTCTCTTCCCACGTGTATATAATTCCTTAAATGATCAAATGACCATTTTACCCTTATTTCCTTTAACAATTACAAAATAACCTTCATCATATGCATCTAATAATCATAGAGCTATTTCA